TAACTTTCTAACTACTGTTATCATCTAATGTAAAATTGTAATTATTTATTTATCGCACTTATTACGCCAAAATTGTATTTTATCTCATCTCTCTAGGTATAGATAGCGCAAGCTAGGAGTACCTTATTGTATTAAAAAAAAAAAAAAATAAAAAAAAAAAAAAATAGGTATTTATAAATTTATAATTATTATGATATGACGACTTTCATAAGACGTTTTTAACAAAATTATTAATAAAATATAAAAAATAATATTAGTAAAAAAAATTAAAATTAATTGGAATATATTGAGAATCACCTACCATGGAACGTCATGTATGCTAAATGATTCTCAACAATTAAAACAATATTCCTTATTTGAAAAAATTGAGATCTGGTTTGCGTGTGATGGTATATATTATCATATACTTGGTGGAAATCAATATATTCTGCAATACAGTATTTAATACTTATTTTGTAGGTCCTTACACGTTTCTTAGTGATTCATAATAATGAATGTGCCTATACATAATAATGTTCTTTTTAATTTTTAATGGTTATTAATATACGAAAACGTTGATGGATTTTATTTTATTTTAACTTTATTTTTAATTTCATTTAATTTAATTTTTATAGATTTCGAATGAACTTAAATTATCGTAGGTACATCCTAAGAAAATACATTCACTTCGGTACAATTTACATAATATTCCTGCAGGCTGCAAAAGGTGAGCGCGCATTGTGCAAAACAAGTATCGAACTATTAATTAATAATGATTTCGAAACTTATTTGCTTTTCGTATACATCATTATGTAGACAAATATTTAAATACATAGAAAATAGTCACAGATGCTAAAATATCTTCTAAAATTTCGTCAATAGTTTTACAGCCGAAAACAGGATATCGAATTATATGCATATATTAATATTATTTAATATATTGTTGCCACTTTTTTGGATGGGGGAATAGAGAGAGTTAGATATAGATAGAGGTAGTTAAAATATTTATATAAGCTGTACAGTATAATATGACGTATGAACAAACATCAAATATACAGTTGTGGTCAGAAAGCTCAGAGTTTTGGCTATAAATAAAAACAACATTTGTAGATAATCAATTTAACCGATCGCTGGTAGTTGGACTAACTGTATGTAATAATTAATAACACTAATAACGATAACAAATATCTTTAAAAATGTAAATAGCTGTCGTTATCATGAGTGTCCATTCTTACAAGTAACCACTCTATAATATTATTATGTATACCGATATAGATTAAGTACAATATGTTTGCTATTGTACATGTACAGATGCATCTGTTATTAAAATTTTAAAATTATGTCGAAATGTACAATCTATTTTTTCTTATAAATTTGAAAATTTGAATAGGTACAACTTATTTTTTTTTTTAAGACCAACATGATTGTGTACGTACACAAAAAAATATTACGTTGGTATGATTAGGTATACGGTTATCCTCCCCTTAATAAATTTTCAGAGCGAGTTTTTATCAATCAATGCAAATTGCTACCAATCGAAATGCAAACTACAAACCTATTATTTTATTTGTAACTTATATTACAATAATATACGAATAATATACACTGTTTGATATAATCATATACATGTATCATAAACACATTTTAAACAGTGAATAATTTGTAACAAAATAATTTATACGTTTTATTATTTCAATAGAATGATCATGTGGAAAATGATTCCCCCCCCCCCCACAAACTTCATAGAACATAAATTAATTTCACATGTCCTAACTTTTCACATAACCTGAAAATAAATAATATTAATTATCATGTATCGATCGACGATAATATTATAGTTCAAAGATTTCGAGTAAATACATATACCAACAATTAATATTATACCGTAAATACATAAGATAATATTCCACGATACCTTGGTATAAAATATATTATACTTGGTTACATACGTACAGACAGAAGACGTACAGTCAACTGTTTGTTTTATCGTCGCGGTGACTCATATATTTAGCTAGTTACGTCTGCACCGGCCAGTAATCGGTATACACCTACTTCCTTATGAGTTATGACATAAACAACACAAATAAAATAACTTTAACTATAACTTATCAGTTCCTGCCATGGAAAGTCGAACAAACCAAACGATTATTAGTGTTTCCCAACCATTTTTTTTTTTACTCAAAGCCCTACATTTTGAAAAATCTCACAATCCCGCATTAATTTTAAAAAAAAATGCATGATTCTTTTATTTGGTTATACCAGGCATGTAGGACATAGGCACATATATTATAATGTAAAATACCATAAATATTTTAAATTGTTCAAATATTTAAAATGATTACCTCACTTACTTGGTGATATACGGAATTGTTTTTGTCATTAATTACAAGTATTCGTTTTGGATCTAAAATTGCAAGTGTTTAGAATGTTTTACCAGCTATGCCCAATAAGTTATTTAAAACTGAAATGTATTAAAACTACTCACTGAAAAAAGGTGTATTTACAAAAATAAAATTCTCGTAATTATAAGCATAGTCTGCAATTGTTGCCTCAACTTTTAAAACCACTGTGTGTTCGGTATCAAATACAAAATTTCTTGTCTCGTATGTTAGTAAATTAATAACGATTTCCAGTTGCTTGTAACAAATTGATGTCAACAACTCAAATACTTATTCACCTTTTAAGTTTTTAACATTTTAGCATACAAACCCGAGTGTATACGCCTCTGACCTATATTACCATCGTTCCGGACGGTCGCCGTAGTACATTTTATTAACCATAACAAATAATTTTAAGTGATGATTTCGCCAAATCATTACGATCACCGTTCGCTGGTAAAACGTGTCGCATTATAAATATTATCTATTTTATCGTAATTTATTAGCAGCGTGATAAGCCTGTTGCAGTTGCAATGCTGCATACAATTTAAGTATCATGAACATATTAACAGGAATTTTATCCACTGCAGTCCAGAATAGGAGACCGATAGCATTTGATTATGTCATCGCCGGAAAGCAGATAAACCGTCGACAAATACACCGCGGGCGTACTACGGAGCTGCTGGTGTCTTGATGTCTACACTACAGTCTACAATATAGTATACATGACCGGATATAATTATGTCACATATAAATGATAACCGATGAAATAATATTTTATTTGATTACGTTGGCGACCACAATATTCCGAGCCCTCGGTTATAATATTGACACATTATTATACCTGCAGCAGATGTAATTTTTACACGTCATTTTCTCGTCACGCATTGTATGTTACGCTTTACAGCAAATACAAGATGCAAATAATCACTGCAGCACTAGAGGAAATTACGTATTTTTTCTGTTGACACGACCATTGCAATAATGATTGGCGTGTATAACCCAACCTATAACGACGTGTGCGTGTGGACAATTTCCACTCGCCTGAAATTATGACAATATATTATTTATGATAAATTACAGATATGTTTATTTTCTATTGCGATCGTTATATCATCGTTCAATATTTTATATTTTTCAATTCAATACCTCCTCAGTACTTAATATTTACCAAACTTAACGTAAACTTCTTAGCACTGTATGACGTATGTACTTAAATACCCTCTCTGATCTCTCTAACTTACGTATACCGTCATCAAAATTAGTCTACATTTATACGATCGTTTTTTACACGAAAGTTAAACCAAACTTTTTTTTTTTAATGTGATAAACCATTTGTTGTTGTATATACATTACATAATATACTGCAAATCTGTTTCAAGGGCTGCTTTTATTAATAAATAGTTTTCTTTTTTTTAATTCATTAGGTAGGTATTACGTAAGATAATGTGGTGTACCAGGCTATAGCCTATCTGGCTCCCCCTTTTCCAAAATGACTCCTGTTATTGACAACATAAATTTCTTCTACTTCATATACATACTTACGACTGTCTCAAAGAATCTAGGAAAAAAAGACCAAGGAAAAAAAGAACACGGAAAAAAAGAACAAGTAAAAAAGAACAAAGGAAAAAAAGAACGCGGAAAAAAAGAACAACTTTTAGAAATTTTAAATAGTGTCCCACTAATCAATATTTTTTAAAACAAAAATTTTAATATAATGCATAGACACTTATGCTATATTTTTGGTATTATTTATAATAAAAAAAATACGAAACATAAATACAATAAAGCTTAGTATAATAATATAGAGTAAGATACATTTTTATTACTGGAAATGCCCTAAGTAATCCTAGTGCCCTTATAGTTGATTATAGGTGACCTTTTCATACTTTAGAGCTATAATTTGAGTGAACATATTTAGTCTATTGACAGTCATTGAAGTGTTCAAGTGTTTTCATTAAATTTTTATATTTCAATTTTTTAAATACATTTGAAATGGAAATTGTTATGAAAGCAGTATCAAAAATGAAATTAATGGCTATGACATCCTGTACAAATCCAGTCGAGATTTATGCTCGAGGTGTCTCCGAGTTCGATGAACGTTCTAAATCAAAAATTTATGTTTCGTATTTTTTTATAATAAATAATAATAATAATAATAATAATAATAATAATAAATAATACCAAAAATATAGCATAAGTGTCTATGCATTATATTAAAATTTTTTTTTTAAAAATTTGGTTTTTTTAATTGTTTATGCAAAGTAAATATAAAACTGGCTTTATAAAAAAATCATAGGTATTATAAATCATAAATTGAAAAATAAGTGTTATTTATTTTAAAATTGTATGTGAAAAATAAACTATAAAGAATTTTTGCTGTCGAATATCGGAGCAATTTAGGAATTTAAGTATTCGTGGAACCTTTTTCAACGGGAGCCATTTAGAAACCGACTAACAATGGATGAGAACCGTCTGTGCAGCTGCAGCGGTGCACCACGATATTTACTCTGATAATATTATTTTAAGTATTGTAATGTGCACCATATTAGATCTGTAATTCTCGACATTTTTTATATTACAGGGCACTATACTATACTGACCATCACCATTTAGAATGTATTTTCAAGTCTATAATTTAATAGCACATTTTAGATTCCAAACCCAAATACAATACGTACCGCTACCCTCAGGGTGTAGAGAAGATACATTGTTTAGTGATTGGGCTTCCATCAAATAGCTGATAACACAATAGTATACTTCTTATAAAAAATAAACATTATTGTATGTCACCGAAAGTCTAATAATAATTGTATAAACGCCTTGATGATAAACATCCATCCACAAATAATAGTCGTTCCCTGTACCTAGGGTTTTTACTTGTTTGTAATTTGAATAATGTTGTATACCAACGTTCAATACAATATTTTGAATTTTTGAAGATAAAATGTCGGCGATAAGTAGACGGTTACCCTGGCATGTCAATGATATTGACACTTGGCGGTTGGCGGATAACATTACGAAACAGTTAAAGAGAACTTGACGGGCGAGCAGTTGGACCTATATTTATAATATAATATTATTAATTATTATAATGGTTGACCACTTAACTATGTAAAGTATAAATAAGTTCACGCTGAAGCTATTAAAGGTACATAATTATTGAATGTATAATAATATAATTCCCCATACCTAATGTTATTGCATACTCGGCGACTCTTGCGTTGAAGTTTCGCGATGGGCCGCACATTATTATTATTAATACGAGTATTTAATGTGTGCGTGCGCTGTACCCGTACAAGGTTAAGTAACACTTCAAATATGAAAGTAACCTGACGGGCGGGCGGCGGGATCACTTTCTCCGCTGTCCGACACAAGTACACAACCTCGTGCTGCGGGATTCCCTAGCCTGGAAAAAAACACACGCCGAAATTATAACGCTAAATAATATTTTAACATCGTGTATTCGTGTGTATGGGAGTTTGAAAAAATAAAAAAATTACAATCAAATTCTCGTAGTACTCTAGAGGTGTTGTAGAGGTTCGCGACCGGTAAAAGTGAATATTATTATTATTCGTTAAATAGCCAACGGGTAACCGATATACCTATACATAAATCATAGAACGTAATACCTACATGAACATGCCTATTACCTAAAATATACCTAGTTTATTATTACCAGCAAGCCCCAGTTGTAGGTATCTACCTTTTTTTCTAATGGCAAGAAGTAGGTAAATCTAATAAATTAATAGATAATACGTGGAATGAACAATGATTAAATCACCCATTGATAACTTACATCCCCCAGACTACGCAGTGGCCAGTGGGTCGTTTGGAAAGTGACGGTAAGAGAAATCATATAGTGGATTCTGTATTTATATTTGATGAGTTTACATTTTGGGGAAACGCTTATAAATTATTCGGGCAGGTTCAGTGATTGTTTTTACATATTTCATAATATGTTATTATTTTAACACACGCACATTGGTAAGAATCAAACCTTGCCTAACTATCCTTGGTGTGATATATTGGAATATTTTGAATGACTGAATGAATTTCAATTATATTAGAGACAGAGTTTGCCAAGACTCTGGATTGCAATTCCGTAGGACCAAACAAGTCTTACGATTGTCTTGCAGTACATTATAATAAGTTAGTTACGTAGTAACATTTTGGAATTTAGAAGAAGTTGGGGAAGATGTAATCGTATATTAGATTTTCTTTTTTTCTTACATACCTCTGCAGGTCAATGTCAAATTACCTCTTATAAATTGTAAGTTTTTGAGCGATGCCGCTCCTTGTATGGTCAAGGCAGCTAATTGTTCACTTCACTTGTGTGGTCAATGGGCTGCACCGGGTGGTAGAAGAAATTCGTGGTCAATTTCCAAAAATTGACAAACTTGTCTTATACACAAAAAAATATTTTTAAAAGCGTCGTATCGGTTTGTTTAAAACAAAGGCTCCAGGTATTCCATTGCCTCCAATGCATATATTAACAAGATGAGTATATGGATTTTCGCTTCAATGTATTATTGCAAACATATAAAATCTATTCGAAATGCAATACAAAAATTGAACCCCGAAGACGTCGTTTCAATAGACGAAATTCCAAAATTAATTTCTAAAGATCAAATTGAAGCAAATTTAACTTTTATTTATTCAAGCTATGGATTTTTACCGAATACCTTAACATCTTTAGAAATCCAGAATATTTTTCTAACAGACTCAATTAAACTAATAGATTATACTAAGTAATATATATGGAGTTTAGTGGTACAAATGGCCCTGACATTAACAAAAAATGTGAAGATGTTTTTAAAAAAAATAATGGTTTTCATATTCTTACAAAAATGTCTAAAGTATTATTCGAAGATATATATTATATATATATTCACGTTAAAAAATATCTCAGATGATTTGATAAGCAAAGATTTGTTGCATTATAAATACGCACCTATTACGTCCGTTGATGTAAATCGTTCTTTTTTACGCTACAAAAATTTGTTAACGGACAATCGAGGCTCAATGCTGTTTGAAAACTTATCAAAACCATTAATTGTTCAATGTAATAACATTTTGCAAAAATTAATGTGTTTATCATTAGATTAATGATTGTATTTAACTTATTATTTTTTTACATACAATTTTGTAAATCATTGTCAATAATTGTATCATAATAGGATATTATATAAAAAGATAAACCATTTAAGTAATTAAAAACCGAACGTTACATACAATAACATTTTTTTTTTAGAGCATATTTTGGTAATTTTTTAGGCATATAATTGTTGGCCTTACTTATACTATACCTTAACATTTTATTTGCTGTACGTACCTTAACTTATCTTTACAAAATTCTTATACAGTGTTTTTCAAGAAAAGCATATTTTATTCTGCATACAATCCATTTTTCTTGATCGAAATATATATACAACTAAATAGTTATTTTACTATGTTCGAGGTCATTCACATTGTTATTGTTATGTATTATTCTTATACGACATCCGAGCTAAAAATTGAGTTAATATACGTACCTAATTTTTTTGTGGCACTTATAAAATATAAGTCGAATAATTTGTTTAACATCTGACATGGTTATAGATTTAAAAGTATCTGGTTATGATTTATTATAGTCTGTTGGGCGCTTCCTGGTTTTCCGTACAAACTCTTAGAGTCTGTTAATGTCATTTAATGTCCTTTAATATGTAAAGTGGTCACTCAATATTCATGGCGACGTACAGTTCTAAAAGTTAATTTTCCGAGATGACAATGTGATAAAATCAAAATAAAAGAGTACTTACTGATGGATGATTGGATGAAACTATAAAAGCATGATGAACTGATGCTCATTTTTCATTAAGACTAACAAAATACAGATCAGATCTTAAAAAATCTGATAAAATATTTGAATGAAAATCTCAAAAATATGATGTATTGGATGGATGATTTCATTTCTCAAAAAAAAGGGTAAAATAAAAAATGTTCATGAATAAGTAACTTACGTTTCTACAAACATTTTTTTTAAATCCTCGACCATCCATTTTTTGTAAGTACCTACACAAATAAGTACGTGTATGTATTACTGGCACAAAACTTTAATTAAAAAAATTATGATGGGTTCTGAAAATGTTCGCCATTCCTAACCTAACCATCAAAAAACTCCCTTACCAATCTACGATATAAGTTACTGACCGGAAAGTATATCAAACATATTTTTGAAGAATGCCAAAAATACGAATTGACACTCTCAACTCTCAAACTCCCATGAAATGTTTAAGAAGTCTTAAGATCAAGGTTTAAAAATAATTGATTCCATCACTAAATGCAACTTAAATAGCTATATATAATTTTAAAATTGTTATCAGTAGTTCCCATATGTATTATAAATTATCCATTTATTTTTATTTTTTCATGTTAGCCGAATAGTATACAAATGTAAGATATAGGTAAGGTTATCCTTTGAACAGTTTGAACCCTTACAACTTATTACCTGGTTAAAACAATCATAAAAACACTAGTTTGTTGTATATTATTCATATTTTTAACCTGGATATTATTTAATTCATACAATTTAATATATTTTTTATTATTGCCATTTTTATTTTATATTACTCCTTACTAGTTACTAGTTAAAGAATATTTTATCATTGTAATTTTTTACTTTATAGTATATATATTGTATAGTGAGAAGTTTTACCCGTTTTAACATAAGCTATATTATGTTCCAAGTTGTTTTTCGTCATTATTTCAGTATTGCAGCGAGTTTGGACGTGTTACCATGAAAAGTATCCAATTGTATATATCTATTACATATATATAGGTATCGGTGGAAACAGCGTTTTATAATCTGTGTATGACATTATATTGGAATTACTAGTTACATATTTATACTGCAGCACTAATATCATCAAATAACTATATTTGGGCTAACTAATAGAGAATCGAACGTCCATTTCATATAAATGAAAAAATACAAAGCCGTCAAATGTTCAAAGAGTTCATATAGTTCAATACAAAATGTATACCAATAGCAAATAGGTATATAAATAATTAATAATTATAACATAATATTATATACATACGTTATTAACATTATATCTAACAAGCATGCTCACCCCCTTTTTTTCTTTGATAATGAAGTTTTTCAAAATCTGATTTTTGGAATCATTAAATATACCTACTCTAAGACCATATTTTCATATTCTTGAGATTTGTTGTGCCCCTCAAGGAGTGTCCTGTGGCGAACGAACCTCTGTTTTTCAAATGAGAACCCTACTTTTTTTTAGCGGATAATTTTTTTGAGAATTTTGATGTATCGAAATCAAAATTCGAACAAGTGGCTTCCTAGTTATTGGACAATTTATACTAAGGATAATAGTCTATAATATAGGGACATGTTTATACAGTTTTACACATGGAATAAGAAAAATAACTAAATAAATCAAGGAGGATTTTACTTGCTATTTATACCTAAGTGTTTGACTGAATAAATATAAAATGACGTATTATTTTATATTATGCATATAGACTATAGATAACAACGTATTCTGTGTAAGCATAATATCCTACTTCCCTATTATAAACTATATTATCCCTAGCACAAAATGTGTAATAACTAGAAAACTACTCGTTTGACTTTTGATTACAATACATCAAAATTCTCAAAAAAATCATCTGCTAAATTTACAGTAAAAAAGTGGGGTTCCCATTTGAAAAACAAAAGTTTGTATCGCCACAGAACACTTCTTAAGTGGTACGAAAAATCTCAAGAATGTGAAAATATGGTCTTTGTGTATATTTAAAGATTCCAAAAATCAGATTTTGAAAAACTTCATTATTAAAGAAAAAAGGGGGTGAGCATGCTTGTTAGATATAATGTTAATAATGTATGTATATAATATCGTGTTATAATTATTAATTATGCATATACCTATTTGCTATTGGTATACATTTTGTATTCAACTATATGAACTCTTTGAACATTTGACGGCTGTGTAATTTTTCATTTATATAAAATGGACGTTCGATTCTCTTTTAGTTAGCCCAAATATAGTTATTTGATGATATTCATGCTGCAGTTTAGATATGTAATTAGTAATTCTAATATAATGTCGTACACAGATTATAAAAAGCTGTTTTTTGGTCTTAAGTATATTTAAAGATTCAAAAATCAGATTTTGAAAAACTTCATTATTAAAGAAAAAAGGGGGTAGGCATACTTGTTGGATCACCCTGTATTATGGAAACACAATAAAACTCAGACTCGATAACATCGATAATGGCTGACCTAGAAATCGAACCTCGGACTTAAACACAACTAGGATTGGCATCGAAACGTTATCAGTAGACCTTTAAATGGTGAGGAAGATACAAGTGCGGAGGGAAGCACTATAAATACTTATATAATAATCTACGCCATATTATAACACCTATGTGTATTGTGTATTACCTATAATATTGGTATGCGTATATCGGCTATAAAAAAAATGTGTAAACAAAACAATTGGTACCTACAATTCACAAATTTCAAACATTGACTACAATTGTATGACATTGTTAAATATTTTTAAAATTTATTAAAATGAACTTGTCATCAGCGCCTCGATGGTTCCATATTTTATAAATACAGAAAGCCTAATAAAGAGGGAAGGAACACTTGCGAGCCATCCACACTATCGCCTTACCGTGGGCGATAATGGTTCATTATAATAATTTAGTACGTGTCCGAAACGAAATCGTAATAATTTAACCAGGGTTATCTATATCAGAAGCGTTTGCTGACAATTCCAAAATCATAAAATACATTAATCTATTTGCCTTGATTTTATTCAGTTTGTGTTCGCTGTCGGGTGTGGTGTTAATATTATATTTGTAAGTACAGGTATTATGCACTTTAAAACAATGTGCATTTTATATTAGAGTAGAGATTAAAACGGTTTCAAATTTAATATTCATTAAAAAAGTACAATGATAGCAAAAAGCGTTACAGTACTGATTTTAGGGATTTTCGTAATCGATGGGTCAGCTGCAGATAGTATTTTTATTGAATACAAATCCCATACAGGTATATTTTTTAAATTATACGTTAAAAATACACTGTCTATAGCACTTTATAGTTTTGTTTAAATTTTAAAACTTCAGTGAGATATATTGATATTACATTACCTATTGACTGTTTTTGCACGGTTGAAATAATTGATTTCGTTGATGTTTTGTCTCAGATTACTACGACGTTACCGCGATTTATAAGACACAGTCAGTGTATAATACTACAGGAGAAGAAGGCAATATTAAATATTAAATTATAAATGGAGTTTTCAAAATTCTAACTAAACTTAACCCAGAAATTGACTATTTTCAGGAAATTCTTTCAATAATTCCAGATGCTCCGGTTGCAAAGATGTGGAAATTCATTTGAGAACTAATGCTATTGGTATGCCAATTGAGTTTGATGGAGTCATTCTAAGTTCCGATAAGAAAAGCTTAGAATTCATAGCAGACTACAAGTATCCGACCAATATTCTCACGCGAAACAAAATTGAGTACAACGTCAAAGAATGGGTCATTTCGCCATTCATTATGTCTAGTACGTATACTACTGCATTGAATTCTTTGTTCAAACTATAAAAAATATATAAATACTAGAAATTACACAAGGACGATATTATACTATTCGGACAAATTAAAAAAAAAAAAATCAAGAGTAATATAAAAAAGTTTTTCTACATTTCAATTAGTGTTTTGCAAATCTTTGATATTAAACACAATTTATTACATTAATTAAACGGAAATTTTATGTAATCTAAATCTGATAATTTATTTATTGAGTATGTACAGTAAAACCTCATTAATCCGAACCTCATTAGTCCGGATTTCGTTTAATCCTGACAGCCGTTTATAATACGTAAATAATGCTACTTTATGCCATAGATTAAAATAAACACGAAAACGAAGTATAAAAAGATGATGTAAGAAAATTTGTTTTGAAATTTAATGTAGATAAAGAAACAAGTGTTGTAAAAAGAATGCGGTTGGGACTAGATCAATCCCTTGATGATGCATTTTATCCAATAAATTTTTTTTTTTAATTTATAATTTACTATTTTTGATTATTTTGTTTAATATATTTTGTTATCTTTCATTATTTCGGACAACCTAGAGGCCCAATTAGTCCGAATTAATGAGGTTTTACTGTACTTAAATAAAACCATATATAGGTGAGTGTTTTTCACCCATTCTTTTCAAAACGAAAAAAATTGTATTATAATATAAAGTTGTTAAATGTAGATAATAGAAATTATTATATTATTTCAATGTGATCCAAAATGTCCAATTTCATGACATTGATGAACCTATAGAAACTTGGGTATATGAAAAATATCTGAATATCTTTTTTCAAACGTCCATTCTACCGTATTTTGCATTGACTTGTGTATTTTTGAAATATAATGATGATATATGTATATATATATATGTGAGTGTGTATAACAGATAATGCTGAAATTCCAAAGTTCTCAGAATACAATTTGTTACTGTGGAGAGCTAACAATAATGAAGAATCGTTCAAAATCAGATGGAAACAAAGAAATACAATTCAACAGTGTATATCAGTATCGTATATATTGAACGATGTGTCCAAGTGTACATTCACAATGATCTTAATTGATGAAGATAGTCCTAATAAACAAATCATAGGTTCTAATAATATTAAAGAATCGGTAAATTGGCGTTATATATATATGTACCTATATCAATATTAAAATATGTAACATGACTTACGTATACCTACCTAAAAGGTAACCTAATAACAAGTAACGTTTTTTTTTAACTTTACTTCAGATGAAGAAAAAACATAATCTATTTAATTTTACATATTGTCTTTGTAAACCTATAAATAGTAGTAAAACTCATTAGTTTTTGGATATTAGGTATAGTTGTTTTATTTAATTAAATCCGAAATTGTGAAATTCATGGCATTTAAAATCAAATAGCATTTTTTTAAGTAGTAAATAATAAAGCCATGGTATTAAGATCATGGGTAAACAAATAACCCAATTTTGAAAGTAAAAAATCCAATTTGAATATAACATGTATAGGTAAAAGATTTAAATTCAAACTTTGTATTTTACAGAGCCAGAGTGAATTAAAAACAATTTTGTTCAAAAATAATAATTGGTTATATGAAAACAAAACATACAGTTTAAATTGTAAACTCCAAAAGAAATCACTTAGAGTAAAAAAGCCCAACGCTAACCCATCATATTTTTATGACACATATGAAACAGTATACGTCAAGGGTTGTGAGATTGGAATCAAGCGAATAGCTCAGTGCACAGACGATAATGATGATATTGAGTACAGTAAGTAACATTGAATTTCGTAGTTAAGGAGTTCAATATGGGCAATTGTAATAACATTTGAGAAGAATTAAACTTTTAAATATTATATAGGTACTAATATTATACTCAGACATTAATTCAAAATATTTTAAAGGTGATGTTAGTTTCAACAATGGTTGTTGACTAATGGATATACTAATGTATATAGAAAATGGAACATATACTTACGAGTTATAGACACAATATGCACAGTAGCATTACCAAATAATCGCAATATATAGAGAACTTTATCCGTGTCGATTTTATTTTGTTAGTATCAATACCCGCTAATTTGTTACGAAAAAAAAAATGAGTGATTAACTTGGATTATCTTCAAAAGATAAATACAAAATAAAAAGCTATATTTATTAAATTCTTCATGCACTGTGTATCGCAATGTGAACATTTGGTAAAGACTTCAGTTTGTCCCACCCAAAACTTCTTTTTTGAATAAAACACGGACGGTGTGTGATGGTAGTATACATTTTAAAGCTTAAAGTTTAAACTGATTAGAATAATAGAACGAATACGAGTGGATACATATTCATAGAACTTTCATTTTATTATATGCGCGTAAGTTAGTCGTTTATTAATATAACAGCAGTGCGAATTTGTGATTCTTTCATCTCAAATCAAGCATCATCTCAGAAAATATTAAATGGACATCGAAAATGTTTTATATATAATTACATTTTAAAATACATATTGTATAACAATATTATATTCAACAGATAACGAAGAAATATTCACGATAACAGCGAAAGAATTACAAAATACACCATCTGCGACTTCATTGACATTCAATGTTTATCCATTTGGTAAAACATCAGGTATATGCAATAAAATCTATTTCGAAAAATCAAATATATTTATCAATAATATGCTTTCCATTATCCATGATAATTTATGGGAACAAAAAAATTTAATAAAAAACAGAACCGCGACTCTACTATACAGTAGGTGTCGAGTGTACCTTGTCATTGAGTAAGTTACTGTAAATTGTAATGTACCTATTGTTAAATTTGAATTCAATTAAAAATCAATGGATACAAAAAAATGTATAAGCAGAGTGATTCACCAGCATGATCACCCCTTTTTTTTACTTTAATAATGAATTTGTTCAAATTCTTATTTTTAGAATTTTAAAATGTACTGAAAGACCATATTTTCAAATTCTTGAATTTTTTTGTATTACTTAAGGAGTGTTCTGTGGTGATACAAACTTCTGTTTTTCAAATAAAAACCGCCCTCTTTTATTGTTAATTAATTAGTGATTTTATTATTGTACCACATTGAAAATTCGAATGTGTAGTTTTTTAGTTATTACAATTTTCGTATTGAGAGTAATAGTCCTTAAAACTAGTTTCACATAAATATTAAATATAAAATAGACGTAAAATGATATCTAGTATTTATTATGCTTGGGCCAGTTTTATTAATTATTTATATTGGTAAATTAATATTAATGGCTAAAATTTTCAAATCACCTTAGCCCCCATATCTTAAATCATTATTATGTAGGTACCTTTTATCCTTAGAACACAAAATTAAATAACTCAAAAACTATTGGTACTTACGAATTTTCAAAAAAATTGTTTACTGTATAATCTATTGTTGAATAGGGATGTTTTCATTTGAAAAAAAACAGAAATTTGCATCTTCAAAAAACATTCTGTTAATAGTACAAAAAATTTCAAGCATTTGAAAACGTGATCTTAGAGTATATTTAAAAATTAAAAAATCAGATTTTAAAAAACTGCATTACCGAAGAAGAAAATGGTGAGAGCGTGCTTGGTAAATCGCCTTGTATATAGTCTTTATTATATGGAAATATATTTCATGATATTACGTTTTCAGATATTGTTATAAAAGTAATTTATTTTGCTATTAGTATTATGGAAGGATAATCTAAAAATGTTGACGAAAATATAGATTTCATTGTATTATTATTAATATTCAATTACTATAATAGTATACATTTATTTAATTTAATATTGTTATTAACTTTTGAGTCAATACCATCTTACAGTAGAACGGAGTAAATAAGTTTGTGGTATAGTAAATTGTATAAAATGTAATGCGTGGTCCCTAAACATTACTTAAAATTTTAAATATAAATTGGCAGTTATATATAAGCAATGCTGACACTATTTTAGCTGACTCGCTCAGAATTGTTTTTGAATGGCATTATGATTTATCATTAAATACAAATCTAACACTTATATAACCTACATATAGCTCAGCTCAAGAGTCTAAAAATCTGTAGTAAAAATTAAACTTATTAACTTCGACGAGACACAAGACCTATGTGCATTTATATTTTTAACCCACTATACACAATTACATTGTTTATACGAGGGTGATTCTTGCATTGAAATAATTTAGTTGGTGCGAAATTAATACGTTTAGATTTTTCTATCGGAAGATAGTCTTGAGCAAAAAGTGATAGATTTCTCCTCACTTATTTAGTCGAATGAATAAAAAAATGAGCTGCTGTTGAGGATTCCCGCAACATTTAAATTGATACGAGTTATTTACTAGTTAATAGTAAGTAGTAAATTCGTAGTATACAGAGTGATTCGCTAATCATTTATAATTTTCACCACAATTTTTTCCTTTAATAATGAATTTATTCAAATACTTTCAGGAAAAATTATTGATATTGTCATTTGAAAAAAAGGTTTTAACTACCTATATCTAAGTAACTCTCCTCGAATGGTATAAAAAAATCTAAATATTTGATAATATTATGGTCCTTACGAATACTTAAAAATTCCAAAAATCAGAATTTGAATAAACGAATTATTATTTCAGGAAAAGTGGGTGTAAGAATTCTTTGTGAGCCATCTTGAATAACACGGATATACACACTTATATATAGTTAACACATTATACCTTTGCATTGAAATTGTTGTTACTTAGTCTACACACCACGGAATAAATCATTGCCATCTTCAACTTGCTTTAACGGTGGATTTGAGCACAAAGACGGTTGCGTGTGTCCTGTTGGTTTCAAAGGCGATAATTGCGAACAAGGTAATATTGATTTGTCGAACCCATTAAATGTTTCAAAAATGTAACTAAATACTCAGGCTCCAACGTTGTATCTGTAGAAAATGTATGTGAATACTAAACATAAGACAGGATCATAATGTAATATTATTGTTATGTTCATCAGCGTGTGGGCCCAACACGTTTGGCTTCGACTGCTCTGGAATGTGTTCAATACGCCTAACGCAGTGCCGGCAGATGATGTTTTGCACCAGCGGTTTTGGGTGTAAGTGTCCGGTGGGCTATAGCGGGGACGACTGCTCCACAGGTAGGCGCACATCTCATTGATTAAATGCAGCGCTCAAATTTACCGTGGACCGTGATCCCGCAGAGTCACTCTTCTTTAAAAAAAAAAATAACTAAAATATTCCAATCAATAAAATATTTTTTATAACCAGGTACCCGCACATTTGTTTGCACTTTTGCTCCCCCATCTACTTTTTTTCCAAGTCAACCACTGATTGTAAGACGTAGATACCCATACACAACTTATACATAATTAGTACGGTACATTATATACTCTACGCGCGTCATAATTAACTAAAATCATAATATACACGCAATGTCATCATAAGCCGTTTAGCACGTTAATATAGGTAGACCCCTAACGTAATTGTTTTTGTGTGTGTGTGTGTCGATCACAAAAATTTAGAATGCATGAATGGTACATACGGCGCAAACTGCGAGCAAACATGTTCCAGCGGTTGTAGTTCGAAATCGTGTGACATTTACACTGGCGTTTGCACTGAGGGATGCAAGACGAGTTACATTTTGCCATACTGCATAACAAGTAAAACTAACCTAAAATTATATAATTACGATTACAATATGATGACGTTATGAAAAAGTGTTTTAAATATTATTGATTTTGTGACTACAGAGTATCCTTGGCTCAAGCGTCCGCCACAGTTGGAATCGTGGGACGTTATCGGGTCACTAATGCTTAAAATTGATTTAAATTCTGAAAACATAGACGGCAGTAAAAATATGAAATCCGAGTATTACCAAATAGTATTCAAAGTAAATATCATATATTTCATTTACTTGTACATAATATTATATGATTCCATTTCGCATTTGTCCAAAATAAATAGGTAAAACATTATAACCATTATAACATAATAACAATCATTAGTACTAATTAGCATGATTGTCAAATTAAAATATATAATTACCGGCATATTGTACAGAACCATATTCTTTTAATAAGCAGTAGAACGTAAAAAATATCATAAGACTACAATTAAATTCACAGATCGAAGCAGTTAAAATAAAGTAATTATAAGTATTATTTTTGCTGCTGTAGTTCTATAATTCTATATTGTACAAAACCATAAATAATAAATATTTAATGTTCTTAAAAATGTCCTGTAGGTATCTGCCAACCCATTTAGTAATTAGTAATGAGTATATTAGTTTTTTTAGTATGAATACTATATAAATATTATACTTACCTGCCCATTGTACTTTATTAGCCATAATTTTACAACAAATATATCCATACTGAGTATTTTGAAAATTTATCCAGTGAGAAATTAAAACACCTTTTTATTTATGCATCTATACCTAATAAATATTATATACATTTAAGATCGCTACAGACGAATCGGAATTTCAATACCCGGAAATCAAAGAAATCGGACAACAGAAATCCGTAATAGAAATCATTGACAATCTCCAACAGGGAATATCGTACACCTTCGGTGTGATTCTAATTTCAGAAGACGGAAATTACAACACAGAGGATATAAAAACAGTCAATTACTCGACCAAATGCATATGTATACATTATACTTATAATTATCTATTATAAACTTTAAATATTTTTTTTTATATGTAAAAAAAATAATAATGGAACGATATTAATTACTTTTTGTAAAATACAGTACCAAGAAACACAAACTACAATGTAAACTTAACGAGTGGCACGGATTACATCAATGTCACTTGGAACAAGGTATAGTTGCGATATAATTGGATATTATGGTGTTTTTTTTGGTCCCTTTTTTCATTGTTTAGTTTTGAAAGTTGAAACCATTTAGGTATGTTATTGTGTTTTGTCTCCTGTAGCTCAGCGATCAAAACGAAGGAAATTGCAAAATAACCGAGTACTTGTTAGAACTGAAGCTGGATCGTGCCGCTATAAAGCAACAAAGTTATTCAGAAAAAGTCAAATCTAATGATAATTATGGGCATATATTTGAAAATCTACTACCTGGCGAAAAATATACTGTTCAAGCAATAGCGATTTTGGCTACAGGTCAAACCAAACCATTAAACATATCATATGTTTACACCAAGCCTCGTGGTAGGCAATAAACCATTTCAAAAAATAACCATCTACTTTACAGTTACTTATACCTATTTACAGTACATGCATAACATTTAATAACCAACCCATTTTTTTAGGATTTATCCAGATGAAAAACATAAAAACAAAAATATTTAATAATCAGAGTTTGTTATTAACGTGGGATATTGATGAAAAATACGAAATTTCATTGAATTACATAGTCAAATATAAGGTAAAAACTAAAAACAATGTACGAAAATTGTAAAAGTGTATATTATTATTTTCGAGAAACAATATTAAAATTTCGTGCATTAGGATATGTCACTGATAACTGGAAAATCAATTTGCAATTTAATATTGTAAAATGAAAATATGAGAACATTGTATGCTAAAATGTTAAAAACTGTACAGGTGAATAAGTATTTCAGTTGTTCTCATCGAGTTGTTACAAATAACTGGACATCGCTGATAGTTAACAATCAGACTAGACAAGAAATTTTGGATTTGATACCGAATACACAGTATGTTTTAAAAGTTGAGCCAAAAATTACAGATTATACTTACAACGACAACGAGAATATTATTTTTGTGAAAACACCTATTTCCAGTTAGTTGTCTTAATAAATATCAGTATTAAACATTCATAAATAGCTTATGAATAAAATAAAAATATTATAGTAAGGCACTTTCAATTATAGGTCCACAATTAATACCTATAATGAATGTCGAAAACGATTCGTGTATCACCAATCAAACTGCGAACTTTAATTGGATGATAAACATGACTGAGTGTTCTAAACTAAATGGTTTCTTTCAAGGATATCACGTCATACTTAAGGTCAGTATCCACACATTTCTACCTATACCTCTATTAAATTTTTCCGAGTAATTTTTGTTTTACTATGATGGCGTGAATTCACATAACTACACAACGCATTAAATAATTTTAGTAATTTTACAGATATTTATATTAACTTTAAAATAAATGATGCCATGTTCGATATAGAATATTTTCGAAGGAACACAAGTAGCAAAATCTACCAAACAAAACAGTGTGATCTTCGATGAATTAAAACCCGATACCAACTATGAACTGCAGGTTTACGTTCTGACAAATCACGGATACAACTCGAACCAAGGACTGTTCATACCATTTAAAACCAAATCAAAATGTAAGCATCACATTCTCTAATATTATTTAAAAACCATAATTTAGTCTAAATGCACTTAATTCTGATTAGTAATTTTAGTATACCTGCAGTAGAATAGCCAGATATTTTAGGTTAAGACGAGGACTAGAATAAAAATAATATACCTACCTACATTTTCTATCTCTAATTAAAGATTAATCATTATTATTTCATATTTTTGTTTGATCAAAATAGTTTTTTAAAAAAATATGCAGTAATATACAATTTATAGCTAAAAATAAAAGATGGTTTCTGACACTAAACCCGATGCATTAATAAATTAAAGTATACATGAAGAATTTATATTCATGTGCTTATTGTGCCTAGAAACGTGTATATTAAGTACTAAAGTAAATTCTGTTTGACAAAAACAATTAATATTTGATAATTTAATCAGCATTACCTCACAATAAATAAATAAAAATGTGTCAGTAGTTTAGCCTGAAAAAAAATATCCGAACAATAGTTGCATTTTACAATTTATCTACCAGTGACAAAAGCATCCAACAGTGTTCAACAAAGCGAGAAGAACATTTTTAGCATAAACCACAAGTCCCAACATACAGTTGCGACTTGCGCTAGAGGCTCGAACTTTCAACGCGCAAAAGTTTAAATTGGCCTTCTGGTTAAAATAAAGACCAACAATCTTTGAAAGTGGTCAAAAAATATCAAAAATTGTACAAATAAAAGTAATGGATTGGGTGGATTGATGTCAGCTTAATGTTGTCCTGCTAAGTTTACTGGGGTTAATATATAATTAATGTGTTTAAAGCATAAAAAATAATAAAAATAAAAAATGAAAAAAATGAAAAAAAATACTTTAGTAACGATAACTTAATATACCTACCTACCATCAAAAGGCCATAGGCACAAATGCCGAATAGGGTGGACAGGTAACCTAGCTTAATGACACTAACTGTTATGCATAGAATAACCTATCTTGTGATATTTAGATGTGTATAAATATCATTTTTATACGTTACAGTTTTAGATCCTGCGGTGGAAGAATTAATAGTTTATAAGAAAAACTTGATACACAAATTAATTGGAATTAGGTGGAGTTTTCCCGACAATTATATCATCAACGGTTTTATTGTCATCGCGATCAACAAGAACAGTACGAATAATACAAAGAAAATTACTGTAAAACCCGAAAGATGCATTGCTTGGCCAAAATTCTACTGCACTACTTTTGAGGACTTAATACCCAACAACCAATATACGATTGAGGTAATAATAAAAGCTCAGATATTGTAACAAATGATTCTTTGGCAAGTTTGCTAGAGAGTAAATTCTAATATTCGTTTCGCATCATTCTGGTTGTAACGGAGTAAACTTGTTAACTGTGCATATTTTCCCCTAAATGTACTTTTTTTGCTAACTTTTGAACAATTATCACGAATATGTCTTTTACATCTTTTTTATTATTTTTAAATTGGATTGCATTACCTAGAAATAAGTGACATTTTTATGTTTTGTTCTCATAATTATTTCGTTTGTTGTACGAAATAAATATACCATTTTTGTATTGATTTATTTTGCAACAAAATCTTAATAATATTTTAATATTTTACTTTGTTAACATTTTGTAATATATTGTTTTTTTTATGAAGGTAAAAGCCAAATCACAAGACTATCCTACAGGTGGTTTGCCAGCGTCAGTCGTCAGCGATTTTAGTGAAGGGTGTAAGTGCATTGATTTTGTACTCGATTACACTATAAATAAAAACGTGCACTTCAGGCTTATTGAAAGTTCAAGCGTTGCTCAACATTAAGTCTAAACAGTTTCAGATACACCAGAAAATCTCAGGGCAATAAACGTAAGTTCCGTGCACATTTTAGTGGAATGGGACATTCCCTGGGTATTCAACGGTGTATTGAAATCATTCATAGTCAGCACCGAAGAGATTTCGTCTAAAGATATCGCTAAGGTCCATAACAATAAATCCGAAGTGGAGATACAGGTCACAGAAGAAATCCCAACTTACAATTATACGGTAATAATGGTTAAAAAAAATTGTAAATTCCACTAGAAACACAATCTACGAGTTAAATAAACAAAGGGAAAAACTAATTTGTATTTAAGCGATATAATATTATGACGAATATTATCATAGAACATTGGTCCGGAATAAAAAGTCATAAAAACGTATAACAATAATATATTCAGTAGGTAAGTTTGTAAGTACTATTGCTCTTTTGCCTCTATTTAATTTTAAATAATATAATACAATTAAACAAGTTAGAAAGCTCACTCTAAGAGAGTGATATAAATTCCCGATTTTTAAACGTATTTTAATACAACGCAATAAATTACAATTTTATACATAATTTACGTACACTAACTACGGACGATAAATAAATACCTATTACTATCAACAATCGTGACTATATGTACTGGTAACAACGGGCGGACGGACACAATATAAAGTGTTCGAAACATATATTTGGAAAGCAAAACTACCATTCTAAACAAGACTTTGTTCAGTAATTTAAAAAGAATCTTTAAAAAATTTAATTATAATTAAAAATTATTATTGACTTGCCTAAGAAAATGAATAAAAGGATTACAAAAATAATATGGAATCAAAGAATACACCATAAACCATCACATTATACAACAAACTAACGAATTAATTTTCCACATCCGTCGGTCACTCATTGTAGTTTAACAATGTGTTCGAAATCATAAATATAACAATTGCCAATTGCCAATTTGGTTGCTGACGAATGATGGACACGGAACAAATATCTGGAGATATTATTAAATTAAATAGTATTTATTTTAGCTATTTGTATACTAAAACCATGCATATAACTTATACATAATACATATAATTAATAATAAATATGCGCTTAAAATGAACAACATTTCCTAGACAAACAAAATATGCAATTATTAATTCAAATCTGAGTACTTCAATAAGTTATAAGTAGGTACTAGGTAGTATACATTATTCACCATTTTTGTCTGAGATAATCATGATATATGGTAGATGTTTTATATTGTAACGTATCTATTTCAGATATACAACTTGAAGCCCAATACCACATATTCAATCGGTGTGTTGTCGAAGACTTCATCGAACGATAAAATCAATAAAATACAAGTAACGACTCTTCCGACTCCTACAGAAATTTAATTATATCCGCTAATAACATTTGCAGCTCTGATATCTGAAATAAAACCCGATGGGTCATACCTACTCTAATAAACTACTAATACTTATTACATTGATTTACAATATATTATTGTAGAAATACAACGGAAGGTTAGTTTAAGCTAATAGTTTAAGCCCATTGAATTTTTTCGTATTAAAGCCATTATATATGGAGTGATCCATTCAATTGAAGACGCTCATTATTTCAGAAAACACTAGTTTTTTATAACATTATTTTTACATAATTTTGTGTAGTTTAAAAACAATATTTTTGGACAAAATTATATTATCACTATTTTTATTGTTATAATTTTACGCAGAGGCACTAAATTCTATAAATATTTTAGTTAGATATTAATATATTATCTTATATTAGTAAGTAACATTCAAAATAAATGGTGAGATGATATTTTGTGGTTAGGTTGATAAATGTAGTTAAATACTGTAGGTCAGTACATCAATATAGATGGGCTAAATAATATGTTATTATTTTTTTTATTGAATAAAACATTTTGGTAATGTTGCCTATATGTCTTGTGATTAATGTTGACATTTAAATATGTGTTATCTATTATAATTTATAAAAACATTTTACAAATTACAAAAATATTTTAGGTCTTTCCACTGTATAAACATAAGCACTTATTTTCCCATTTAACTAGCAATTTAATGTGAGTGTTGGGTATTGTGAAATCGTTTAAATTTAAAAGTTAGTATAACGATTGGTTAGCAATTATTGTAAAAAGCTGTATATAATTTTCTGAATTAAACTTAAGGTTGTTCGAACGAATGAAAATACTAAGTAAATAAAAATTGGTGACTTAGTTATTTGATTGAGTTAGAAGATAAGGATCTAGTGAAGTCTGTTTTTACAAAAATCAGAGAAGTCATAGGACAAGATCCTTGGGGCAGGAAGAAGGAGTACAAAACAGTTCGAGTAGCAAACTGGTTTAAAGTTATAACAATATCGACCTAGCCGTTCATACGAAAATATACAATTGCAATGACCACGAGCACGATGAGTTGCCTATTAATATCCTTTCACAATATAAATTATACCGCACAGGAAAAATCAATCTAGCTAGATACCTACCAAATAAACACAGCATAGTTAGAGCTATGAAGAGAGATGGAACATGGTTTGCGTGAATAAGAAGTCACTGACTAGTGACTTTTTTCTTAAAGAGTGGATGATGAAAGGATTCATTTATAGTAATTAATTACTATAAGTTAATATAGTATGATTATTTTTTGAAAATTGGTGTTGAAAATTATACTAAAATACCACATCAACCCACGAAATTTCAGTTTTATTTAAATGCTATTGAGTTCTAAAATATTGAACGAATAGTAAAAAAAGGTCGTGACAAAATTGGTATAAACGGTTTAGTTTACAAAATTACACAGAAACATGACCAGAAACAAGACGTTCCAGAAGCAAATAAAACTTGATTGTACTTTCAAAGAACAAAATTTATTACCATGTTATAGTCTTGAAAATAATTCTTGGAACTTGTAATTAATAAATTATATTTAAAAAAAATAAATATTCTGTTCGACTAAAAGGGAATCATTATTCTATTTTTAATTGTATTAAAGAAAAACGGGTTTGGGCCATGCAGGATTCTGGATACTATATATTTGATACGTACTCGTATGTGATACAACAATAATAACATACGTCTATGTCATTAATTCATAACATTAAGAGCCGATATATAATGTACATAATATAATTTTAAGTAGGTATAAACAAATTAAAATCTATTAAATAAGGAATGTTCGGTACTACGATCATCAATGTCAAGTCTCATCATACAAGTGTACGATTATAGTTAAAAGGTTCGTTTTTAAAATAATGACTAGGAGAATGGATAAAAGTGTTATGAATGTGATCAAGTCGAGCTGGAACATTTAAGCGCATAAGTGCTAAGAGGAAAGAGCCGAAGAGGAGTCTACAAATTTTTAAGAACATAATATAATGTAGGTAGTAAAAGTTTGAAAAAAATCAATTTTCTGTTCATACTCAAAAATATTAAAAGCGAGTACGTTATAATGCTGAAAATGTTTCACTTGATTTCATCATTAATGTCTTCGAATCATTTTTAATACGAGCGCATTATTTTTGATACAAAATTACGGGAGTGGTGTCCTTTAAAAGAGTATTAAACTTTGTAAATTTGATTTTTAAAGTTCTAAATATAATGAAAAGATGAATAAATAATTCATGTAAACAGTAACACATGTATTTTAGCTTTTTTATTAATAATAATATTTATGTATTAATATTTACTATCCAATGATATCAATATTGTTGATGTTGACAATACAACATTTTAATTGTTCTTAAACTTAAAACTACGTATAATATATTAGTATAGATACATTTAAATGTAAATGATTAATATTAAGAAATAAGGACGATAATGAATTAGAATTCAAAAACACTAAACATTTACCATTTCAGTTTAAGGATTATCAGACAGAATAGAACTAAATTTTTTTGTTTAATGTCGATAAGTATTAAATCTTAAATATTCTGATTCATAATAGAATATAATTATACTAATAATATTATGTATTGTTCTAGCTTCTAAATATACTTACCTAATATTACCTATATTCCCGCTTCTTTAAAATGAATTCGAATCGCTATTACTATACCTATATAAATACAAAACAATATGACTCATTTTTATATGATGTATCTAAAAAAAAAAAGTAGATATAACACTTACACAAGAACATTTTTTCTTCGAAAATATTTTCTGGAGGATTATTAGCTATACAATTATAATTTAAAAGTATTTTAACATAGTGTGCAGTAGGTACTGATACCTACTAGTGACTCACCAGAACTCAGCGGTGAGTCAGATAAATAAGTTAATTTAATTTAATTTTTGATCCGATAAATATTTATGATTTATTAAAACTTAATAAGCCCCAATATCAATTAATTGTATTATCATTCCCCATTATTTTGAAATACAAATCAGGAATGTCAGACAACATAATTAGTAGCAACTAGCATTTTATCTTAAAATGTTGTTCAGAGTAAAAATGTATATCTAATATCTATTAAAACAATGAATATGATTGTTGTTATCTAACTATTTTCTTGTGATTATAAGCTCTGAACATTTTTCCAGCATTTTAAACTGCTGATATATTTTATATATACTTCGCATATTTTCAGATTTAATAACTTCTAATTAGTTAATAATACTAAATTAACTTTTAATGACCTACCTAAGAACCTAAATTTTACAATAAAACAATTATTAATTTAAAAATAATATTTTATTATATCAAATGATACCAAATTAAAAACTAGTTTAATATGTTATATGTTAGTTCTATAAAAAAAAGCTCATAAATTAAAACTATTAATATATTTTAAATTATAATTATATAATTTTGATCATACTTTATAAAAGTGGATGGAAAGCAGATTTTAATTACGGTTTACTATAATTTTGATCATACTTTATACAAGTGGGTGGAAAGCAAATTTTAATTACGGTTTGCTTTAATTTTATATCACATATTATGTATTTTTTATAGCATTAGATATTAATATAAATTATAGGTATTATATTGCTTTAAATATGGAACGAAATGCCGTCTAATTCTTTAAGTACCTATAATAGGTGTAAATAGTGGGTACTGCCGTTTATCCTAAAAGTTCCATCTCTAAGTCCTACTAATAATTTCTATGGCAAATAAATAAATCTAAATATAGTCTAGAAATGTTGTCTAAAAAAATTCTTTAATTAAGGGCCTATGCTATAAATTTTAAATTTTCTTATAGACTATTACTGTTAGAAAAAAAATTTAAATATTTTGTTACAGTTTTACGGGGATACTTTTGAGAAATACAATTCTAGTATTAGTACTATTTACAGCCCGGAGGAGAAGTATTCTCCGGAGGAGAAGTATTGACCGGAGGAGAAGTATTGGCAACATAGTTCCTTCTCCGGTCCTCGATACCATAGAAAAAAAAAAAAAAAAAGTACTATTTACAGATATTTTTTAAAACCAATTTCTTGTAATCTAAGATTATTTTAACATAATATCACAAGCAGAAAAAAAATAATACATAGATTCATATGATCATATCGATTCGTTGAAATATTATAATAAATATTGCAATTTGTTAATATTATTTACAAATACTTAATACAACTTTTAATTGATAATTAGTATTTATTTTTATTTGTATAACATCTATGCTTTAAGATGACGTTATACCCACATATTGTGTTGTCTCCGTCTATACGCATTTTAATCACTATGTATGATCAGAATAATCAATTCAACTCTATTGTTTTAAATATTAATCAATTTTAATTAATTGTAATTCAAGTTGAGATTATTATGCAGGGCCCTACCCGTAAGTTGATTTTTTTATATTTTAATTTTAAAGCAAGTTATAACAGTTTTTAATTTTGAACAAATTGTATGTAAAATTTTGAGTGCACACAGCTTGTTTAGTGCATACAAATTAAAATATAAAAAAATAATGTGGGGGACCTGAGGCCTGGATAATATTCATTTATTATTTCAATTAAAATTTGATGATAGGTAAAAGTTAAAAATAACACGGTAAAAATAATTATATTCTAAACACAAAATGTTGCTATACATAAGTAAGTATGAGACATAACACTTTTTTGTATTTGTATCATAATAATAAATAATATGCATTGCAATTAAAGTTTTTTTTTTTTTAAAACTGCATTCAGAATTAAATGTATAATGTACATTTTACAGTTTTCTACATTTTTCTAAAATTGTTGCCTATGAATTTTACATATAATGTATATTATATTACATTTTTATCATTTAAATTATATTTACTATTGCATTGTTCTAAAATGTTTAAAGATTTATTCAAACGAATGTATAGGTAGCGGTAGTTACTTCCATTGTTTTATATTTTGTTATTCTTAAAAATGGCGACGTAAAAAAATATTGGTACCAGTAATGGACCTATCCATAATAAACATAAATTGTGTCCGGTATCAGATAGAAAGTTAATGAGTGTTAATCATTAATAACATGATTAAAAATAAAAATTTCCG